ATGCCATTCATCTAACCAGTGTTTACTGAATGCCCACTCTGTGCCAGGCACTGTGATAGAAAGATAAGCTTCTATATTTAAGGCATCCACACATATTTTTACATTCCTAATGTCACATCTCTGACTCATTCTATATAGCTGCCCTTTACAGGCAGACCTCAGAGATGCTGGGGCTTCAGTTTCAGAATAAACTGAAGCATGTCAATAAAGCATGTCAGAATCATTTTGCTGGTGGAGGGTCTTGCCTTCAATTTGTAAATAATGCAACATCTGTGAAGTGAAACAAAGCAAAGCACAATTAAATGAGGTATACCTGTATTTTAAGGGCCTTAACCGTTTTATGCGGGAAGAGAATCCCATGAATATCAAGCTCTAATTTTACCCAGGGAGCAGCCCCGCTGCACCTTATCCTCTCACCCTGGTTGCATTTCTTTATAGCACCTGTTATGACCTCACAGACCTGGCACGTCTATGTCTGCTTATTGTCTGTCTTCCCCATTAGAATATAAGCTCCATGGGGATGAGGTACGGGGGTGTGTGCCTTTTATAGTTATATGGTTGAATCCCTAAGGCCTAGAACAGAGCAGGCACTAAACTCAAAGCTGATGAATGACTCTCTTCTCTCTATAAAATCACTTATCACCTCTAGGTCCAAGTGTGTACTTTTTTTAAATTAAAAACTATCATTACTAGTATTTTTTATTACAAAGGCAAAAGATGTTGCTTTGGGCATTGTAGGTGCTATAGATTGGGTTTAAGATTTGGGCTAGAGAAAAGTCGTAATTACCCATAACCTGAATCCCAGTTCCTTTATCACCTGGCCTTACCTAAGTCCAGCCTTTCATAGCAGTGAAAATCTTCTCTCTATATAGTAACTTTTCTCAGAACTTGGGTCACTTCCCAAAAAGTGCTGTCAGTCTTGTATTTGGAGTTCTAGCCACTAGATCATTGATTCATCCTTTCATTTAAGGGAAGCATATTACACAAGTGTTTGCTAAGTCCCTTTTGCTGGGGGATATTAAGACAATAAACATTGTCCCTGCACTCAATGAGCTTGGGTTCCTTGGGGGGGAGCTCAGACACCTCCATGACTAAAAGGCTGTGTTCAGTAAGTCTCCTGTGAAGTATGCGGGGCTCTACTTGAGCTCAAAGGAAGGAGCACTCACTTTGGGGTTTTAGTTAACAGGGGAGGCTTCCTGGAGGAGGTAGCATATGAGTGGAACTTCAAAAGGCAGAGAGAAAGGCAGGCTGACCAAAGTTAGGGAGCAGCTGTAGTGCAGAGGACAGTGGGAGTTAATAAAAGGCCTGGAGAGGAAGGGGATTGTCTATTTGGGGCATGCAGTGGAGGCTCTGTTCAGACCCACATAGGTGAACTGTAAGAAGTGCACTGGATTAGTGGGTTTGAGTTGGGAGGACCCTGAATGCAAGACTTTGTAGTTTGTACTTTATCGTAAAGGCAACAGGGTGCCAAAACAAGTTTTAGAGCCAGTAATGTCTGTACAGGTAGATTTTTAGAAAGATTATTCTGTTGGCTCTGTGGACTGTTGGACTGGAAGGAGAAGAAATTTGTAGAAGAGACCTTTGGGAAGGGAGGAACAGATAAATGGGAGACTTTGGACTGGGGAGATATAGGGGAAAAATACTGGGAAATGGATTTATTTGAGAGAATTTATGAAGGGAAAGTCTTTCTGGTTTGGTGACCGTGTGAATGAAATGAAAGTTGGGGAAGGCGGTAATTAAGGGTGATTTGATGTCACCTTAGTGACACTATTGGCAGAAACATGAAAAAACATTTTGGAAATTTTAACTGGGGAAAAAAATGAGGATCTTTTTGGGAGTTTAGACATGAAGAGCTGGAGGTGGTGGTGGGACATATGGTGGATGTACCCAGCAGGCCATTAGTAACCAGCCAGCCATTAGGAGTTCCTTGCCCTGCCTGACCCATGCTCCTAGAGTTTAGCAGAAAATACTGGCCAAAAAAGTATGGAGAGATTAGGCTGAATTAAACCTTTCATTTCAAGGCGTATGTTCATCTGATTCAATAGAGTTGCATATGCCCCATTTCCTCAGAGTGTTCACGGCAGGCCCATGTGCACTGCATGTGTGTGTGTGTGTGTGATGTGGCTGGAGTTTAGCATCCTCATTAGGTAATGTCCAGACCTCTTCTAAGGCAGCTGGTCAACTCCTACCTCCCCCAAGTGGTAGAACCTGGCCTCTGTTTCCTAAGTCTGAGTTTGACAGGGAAGATATTGGAATACTTGTGTGTGCTCTCAGGGACCGTGACATTAACCCCTTTGGCTTTATCCAAGAAAGACCTTGTACTGGGACTCATGCCTCAGCAAACCCCTTCCTAATGGTTTATGAAGCAGAGGGAGGGGCAGCCATCACACACCTTTTCTACCTTCACAAAGCTGGTTTTGTAACTTCTGTTCCCCTGCAGGGGTGGGGAAACTTTTTTTCTGCCAAGGGCCATTTGGATATTTATAACATTGTTCGCGGGCCATACAAAGTTATCAACTTAAAAATTAGCTATGAAAAAGCTCCTAGATTTATTGAATTTCGAGTCCTGCCTGTGGTTGCCTTGGCAGGGTCAGACTTATTGGCTTGCGGGCCCAACATTCGCATCCCCTAGAGGCTGCCTTCAGTCTTCACTTCCACTCTATTTTCCCTGGATGGGCATACTGGAAGCAGGGAGTGGGGCAAAGTCTGCTGAAAAAGCTCAACCAACACAGAGGTAGGAGATTAGTACAGGGCTTTGATATGTCTGAGATCTCTGCTAAGCAAAGCCCATTCATTAAGATAGGGCCAGCATATCAGTTCTAACAAATACCAGTTCTGGGTCCAGGTTGAGTGGGAAAGGTGGTGGACTGGAAGATGACGCTAACATTTTCTGCAGGGCCTGGCCTGCCATTAGGTGACTCAGTGTGTTCCCTAGGACTTCAGCCAGGAGACAGGGACAAGAGTTGCAGCCTTTATTTATTTTTACCTCTTGGGATGGGACTGTTCTGTCTTGGCATTAAGTCCACAGGAAGGCCTCCTTGCCTAATTACCTTTCTGCCTGTGAGCTCATCAGCCAGAACACAGGTTCAGCCAGGGAAGCAGAGCCCCAGGGCCTAGAAGGGCTTCCACGATGTCCCAGGTCACCAGGCTTGGACTAAGACCTGGTTGGGGTTTAAAACCCCAGCTCTTCAGTTTCTCAACGTGAAAAATGAAGGAAATATTTCAGCCTCACAAGCTGCTTATGAGATTGAGGGAGGTAATGTATGTAAGGTAGTTAGCACTATGCTCTACCCCAGTAAGTGGTAGTTATTATTACTATTATTTTAACCCCCCTGAGGATATGTCTTTTTTTACTGTTTTAGAGAGAGAGGTAGGGAGAGGGAAAGAGAGAAACATTGTTGTGTGCGAGTGACATTGATCGGTTGTCTCCTCTACGTGCCCTGATCAGGAATGAAACCTGTAATGTGGGCACGTGCCCCAACTGGGAATAGAACCTGCGGCCCTTCAGATGATGCTCCAACCAACTGAGCCACACCGACCAGGGCAGTGGTAGTTATTACTAATAGTCCCCCTTCTTGAGCAACAGTATAACAGTGATTATAGTGTGTTTTCTGGAGTTAGACAGTCCAGACTAGGTGGGTTTGAATCTTGAGTCCTCTTTTTTCTTGTTGAGTGACCTTGGGCAACTTCATGTTGCTGAGTTTTAGTTCCCTTTTTATAAAATGGGAATAATAACAGTACCTATCTCACTGGATCACTGTGAAGCTTGAACTATGCAAACCAAGCATTTAGCACAATTGCCAGTACATACAAATGGTACAACAAAAGTGAACCACTCAATATTATCATAATCTTTTCAACCCTATATCCTTCAGAGTCTAGCTCAAGATGCCATCATTTCCACAAACCCCATTTATCGCTTCTCTGATCTTCACTGATTTGGATACCTCTTACAATCCATCTTGCATTGCTTCTGATTATGATTATGCCCTTAAAAATATAACTGGCCCTCCCAGGCTCACCTTGCTCTCACCTTGAGGCCTGTCTTACACATCATTACTGTGTCCAAAAATCCCACAAATCCAATCCCGAGAGCACTGACATCAGAGAACTGCATTGCACATTATACAGCAAAAGTTCCTAGAATTGTTTTAAAAACAGCTCTACTTCTTCCAGTTTCCACTTCCTGCGAGGTTGCTTCTCCCCCTTCTGAGCTACCCCCCCCCAGCCCTTTTCTTTCTCCAAGTCCCCTAGGGGGTATATGTATAGCATATAAAATGGATTCCATTCCTTGGGGGCTCCAGAGGGATGAACACACACATTTATATAAATAAACATACGCTAAGATATATAACGTATATAAATAGATCTATTTATATTTTCTTTGACCTCAAGGAATCCATTCATTCAACAATAGCTGAGCGCACACTTTGTGTACAGACCAAGGTATCTGTTGGGATAAGAAAAGCGTAAGAGAGGTTCTAGCTCTCATGGAACTTACATTCTCCTGAGGAACACAAGAAAAAGAAAATTTCAGCTACAGGAAGCGCTCTAAAAACAACATCGTTCTGTGTGAGAGTGATGGGGGGGACTAGAATACGCCGGCCGTTCTATTGGGTGGTGGGGCGGGCTTGGCGGTGAAATCTGAGCCGAGATTCGTTCCATAAACGGGAACATTGAAACACGCACTTGAAGGGCCTCGGAGGCCGGTTCTCGCCGCGGTGCCGCCGCTTCCGGACTGCGGAGCGTCCTGGGGAACGCGAAAGGCCCGACGGCCGCAGGACTCGGCTGCCGGGGGCGCCTGCGCACTGGCCGCCGCCAGCCTGACGTCAGCGCGCCGGCCCGACCCAGCCCCTGTGACGCCATCCTTCCCACAGCCCCGCCTTGGCAGCTCGCGCGCATGCTCCGAGCCCCGCCCCCGCGCGTCACAGAATGGCCTCGGACACCCAGGCAGCCCCTGACGTGTCGGGGAGGAGCCGGCGCGGAGGTGCGCGGAGTGGAGCTCAGGGCTGCAGTGGGGAGCGGAGCTGAGCGGCTGGGCGGGCCTGGTGAGGCCAGCGGAGCGGAGACGTCGGTCGGGTGGCGGCGAATATGCGTTTTTGATACGTTGGAGGTGAGCCTGCCGTGCGGGGCCGCTCCGAGGGTGCCGGTCCGGACCT